GAGGAGAACCTATTCAGTAAATGGTGCTGGGAAAACTGACTGACCACATGCAGAAGACTCAAACAGGACCACTATCTATCCCCATACACAAAAATTAACTCTAAATGGATCAGAGACCTAAATGTAAAACCTCAAACCATAAGAACCTTAGAAAATGCAGGACACACCCTTATGGAAATTGAAACTGGCATCCAATTCCTGAACAAAACCCGAAACCCACAGGCCATAAGAGATAAGATATACATCTTTTGTTAAATGTGTTTCTATGTATTTGGGTTTTTGGAGCTGTAGTAAATAGAATTTTTAAACTTTCTTTTGCCAATTTTGTCCTGTAAGTATATACAAAATAAAATTGATTTTGCATGTTAACCTAAGCTGATTTATTAAAAATCTGTCTTTCACAGAGTTTTTTTTAAAAAACCACTGATTCTTTCCTAGGTCATGCCTTTGTTACCTCTTCCCTGAACAGTTAGTTTCCCATTTGGTTTCACTGCCATGGTATTTGTACCACTTTGTGTTTCTTCCTCGCTCAGGGCCCTTCAGTGATTCTCCAGTTTGTATAGATTAAAGTTCAATAGATTAAGTATGACATTTATGACATTGTACAATCTAGTCTCTATTCCAGCCATGTATTTTTCTACTCCTATGCGAACTCTATGCACCTGGTTTTCTACTCCTAAGCCTTTTCTGCCATGGAGATTCTACTCCAATTCTTTCTCTATCCACTCTCCCACCTAACTTTCTGTTGACCCCAAAAGGATACCCAGTGCTCATTAACAGGTGCTCTCCATTCTTCCTGGCCCTAGCAATCACTCTTCTACTGTCTGTCTCTGTGGATTTGCCTATTCTGGACATTTTATATAAATTGAATCAACGTATGTGATCTTTTGCAACTGGCTTCTTTCACTTACCATATTTTCAAGGTTCTTTTAGCATGTATCAATACTTCATTATTTGTTATGGTTGAATAATATTCCATTGTATGGATATACAGGCATACCTTGTATAATGTGCTTTGCTTTATTGCACTTCACAGATATTGAAGTTTTTTTAAAAAATGAATTGAAGGTTTGTGGCAACCCAGTGTCAAACAAATCTGTTGGCACTATTGTTCTAACAGCAGGTGCTCATTTCATGTCTCTGTGCTGGTGTTTTTAGCAATAGAGTATTTTAAAATGGAAGTATATTCATTGTCTTTTTAGACCTAATACTGTTGTACATTTTAAATACTGTAAAGTGTAAGTATAACTTTTATATGTACTGGGAAACCAAAAAATTTGTGTGCCTCACTTTATTTCAATACTCGTTTTATTGTGGTGTTGGAAGTGAACTTGCGATATTTCTGAGGTATGCTTGTATCACATTTTATCTATCAACTGATGGACATTTGGGTTGCTTTCACTTTTTGGCTGTTTATAATATTGCAATGGACATTTATATACAAGTTATTTTGTTGATATAGGTATGTACCAAGGAGTATAATCCCATGCCACTTGTGAATTTACTTCCTGCTATTATCTTTTCATGTTCTTTAGCTTGAGTATTAGGGTTTATACTGTGCTCCCACATAATAGTCAAAATACAAGCTGATTATTTTTAAATAGCAGTAAATATATTTGTACATATAGCGAGTCTCTAACTTAAGAAAGAGGAGTTTTCTGAGAGTTCATTTGTTGCTGAAACTCAGGTTGTATTATTTTATAAATAAAAATATTTGTGTTGGATCACAGGTCAATCAGTAAAAATATATTTAGAGATACAATTGACATGCTAAGAACATTTTGTCTTTCCTCATACATCCAGTTTTTATTCATTTATGAAATAATTAAGTTCTATAAGGTCTGGAGAAATTACTTTGCTTTTTGCACTTTTGAAGTTTTAGTGGTGATGTGTCAGTTATAGTAATAAAAACAAGGTGAATTGATTCCTCTAGTCCTAATTGTCTCAGTAGGCATCACTAATCTCAGCATTATTAGAGCATTAGTTTGTACTGTATGGTAGTGCTGGTAAGGGGACAAAAGCGATTGCCTATGCAGTAGAGTTGTATTAAAGTAAAATTTCTGTCTTGAAACAAGCAAGAAAATGTCTTTTTTAGATTCTTCCTAAATATTAACTGAGTGGCATTCCTGTAACACTTACCTAATATTAAGACTAGAAATAAAATTTGTATTTGGTGATTAAACTTTGGATCAGAAAATGATCTTACCTATATTGGTAGGTAAGTAGTCATATACCATAAGGTAGAATTGAGGATTGTGTCAATGTGGGAAGACTACATTGATATCTACCTTAATAATGCTAAAAGAGAAGAGCTTTTAAATGATAGTTCTAACAGCTTATGCCAATCTAGTCACTAAATTTGAAATTTTTAATTTTAGATACAAAAGTTTTGCAGTATTATTTCAATCTGGGATTGCAGGTAAGAGTCATGTTAAGATTGCTTTGATAAGCTAAGCTCTATTTTCAAAATATAAACTGTTTTGATAATCAGACTCTTGAACTTCAAAAGCCAAGAACTCTGTAAGGGTCCTACAATTTTTTATTTCTGTCTGCAAGATCTCTGAAGATGATCTAGGTCAGTTTTCTACTTTAGCCTTCTGGTGCTTCAGTTTCTTACTATTATTATTATTATCATCAGTATTATTAGAGTCTGGGTCTCACTCTGTCACCCAGGCTGGAGTGCAGTGGCACAATCACAGCTCACCACAGCCTCAACCACCTGGACTCAGGTACTCCTTCCACCTCAACCTCCTTAGTAGCTGGAACTACAGGCGTGCACCACTATACTTGGCTAATTTTTTAAAAGAAATTTTGTAGAGACGAGGGCTCCCTATTTTTCCCTCATCTCTACAAAATTGTTCTACAAAATAGACTGGTTTCAAACTACTGGTCTCAAGCAATCCTCCTAACTTAGCTTCCCAAAGTACTGAGATCACAGGTGTGAGCCACTGTACCTGGCTGGTTTCTCTTATTGTTAAATTGAAAAGAGTGGGCACTGGGCTTTAAGTAACACAACTTCAGCATATATTTTATTAGCCTTCATGTTTAATGCCAACCCTGATTAATACCAACCCTTCCTTATGTTTTTTAGTCTCAAAATAAATGGATTATTTATCCTGCTACTTAAAATATTTTTATGGTTGTTTCTGCATTTTATGTGAAAATTAATCAGACTAATTCAAAGACATTTAAGGAGGTATATTATTTTTTTTTAATTTTGAGAAAGCAGGATTTATTGAGAGGACAGAAAAGCTCCCACAGTGGGAGGGGACCCAAGGGGGTTGCCCAAGAGGTGTATTATTTTTAAAGCACTCGTGTTCATAGATAGTTGCTAAACATTGTTTTTCACTACTTTCCTGAGTTGTGTAAGGTGGGTACTGACAAATGTCTTTGTCACTGAAAGGTGTCTTTTATTTGAAGTGAGAGAGCTTTCATTCTTTTAGTGAATATTTCCCCCCTGAAATAACACTTGACTTCTAATATGACAAGATGGTATATTTACTGAAAAGGAATAATGTGTCTTACGACTTGTCAGATGGTGATAAACTATATAGTCTCCTGAATTGCTCAGATTAGTTCGTATTCCCTGACACTGATGTCCCTGAAGCCTTAGATATGTCATTGCCAGAAAACTGTCTTCCAAAATAGTACACATCTATAAATTAAGAGTAGTAGGGTAGGCTTTTGTTCTTTGAGACTATTTTTCCTAACTGCAGTTTCAAGAATTGATAAACTACTTGCCCCTTCAGTTATGTTAGTGTATTATAGTCATGGAAATTTTGAAATCAGTTTCACAAGACTGAGTCATTTTAAAATATCCTGCCTTTTACATCATGGGAATACCAGAAAATGCTGGATATATATTTTAATATTTTTCATATTAGAAATAATAGCATCCATTGTAGTACATTTGGAAAATACTAAGGTATAAAGAAAACTAAAATCACCTGTATAATTACTGTATACTTTGATATATTTACAACTTTTATTTTTACTGTTTACAAAATGTGCATTATGCCATATAGTTTTGTAATTTTAGCAATGTAAGCATTTTTTGTTAAATAATTGACATCATGATTTTTTCTTGCCTGTGTAGTATTTCATCATGGATATATCATAATCATCCAGTCCCCTCTTGTTAAATACGTTACCTTTTGTGCTTTTAAAAATAATGGTATAAAAGACATCTTTGTATACAAGTCTTCATGTGTATCCCTAAGTTCCTTAGGATGCTTTTCTAAAAGAATTCCTAGGTCTAAGTATGAGATACAAATGCTGCAAAAAGATCTTAAAGTTCTAATAGAGAACAGACTTTCTAAGTGTTAAGTCTTTTAGGTCAAAAAAGTCTTTTTTACCTCACCTGAAAATCATAGCCCAGTTTTTTGGTTTTTTTTAATGAGAAACTGTACTATGTTAAGAATAGTAAACAGTAAAGTTTTTTGTTTTCTTGTTGCCCTTTTTTACTCAAGTGCTATCACCACAACTACTGGCACTCCATGGTCTATGTGCCACAGATGCAGCAGCAGTTTCATGTAGAAAATTATCCGGTCTATACTGAGCCACCTCCTCTGGTAGATCAAACTGTTCCTTACTTGTATAGTGAGGTGGGGAGAGCAGATGGCACACAGGTGGAAGCATCAGCAAATGGTGAGTATGTAATAAGATTGCCGGCAAGAACAACAGTTGGATTTTATTGAGTGCAATTTAATAATAGCCTTCAGATGTTTCATTAGGTTCATATATTAGTGTAGCAGTTCTCATAGCATGCTGTGTGGACACCTTGGGGCCACTAAGACTCTTCCAAAGGATTTATGAGGCCAGAAGTATTCATAGTACTGAGATTGTATTTGCCCTATTCACTGTGTTGCATTTGCATTGAGGGTACAAAAATTAGTGGTGGGTAAAACTACTGGTGCCAAGCACAAATTGGCACTGGTACCAAACTGTGCTAATAATCAGTGTCTTTCTCACTGCCACACACTTGTGGTACAAAAATGCCCATTTTATTTTATTTTAATGTTTAATCAAAGATGTTCTTATTCTCACTAAAATTTTATCCTTGGATAATTATATGTAATAGTCTTTGTGGCAAAGTGGGAACTACTTATAAAACGCTTCTGCATACTGAATGAAATATAATTAAGGAAAAAGATTTATGCTGTTAATTTACGAGTTGAACTAGGTGACTTTTTTCATGGAACACTTGTTTTAATTGAAAGAGTGATAGACAAACTATCATTATTCAGACTTGGTTTATCGGGCTAACATTTTCTCAAGTGAACAAAGCGAGCCTGTCACTTCAGGAAGGATAACTGGTAATATTTGTTATCAGAGATAAAATTCAAGCTTTCAAATAAAAATTAGAATTTTGGAAAACTTGTATCTGCACCATGAGCTTGTCACCTTCCCAGCAAGTATAACTCTTGTAATAGGTATGTGAGGCTGATGTAGTTTCTTAAATTGTATAATGAAATGTGCCAACATCTGGAAGATTTGTATATAACTCAGTGAAGTAATGTTTCCCAATTACCAGTGCATGATGTCACTCATACCTGATTTCATAAAATATCTTTCAAAGCACAAGATAAAACATTGGATTTTAATGTAACAGACTATGAAAAATCCACATTACTACTGACCTTTGAGAAAGTACCACCTATATAGTTCTACAATATCTGAAAAGGCTAATTACTATATAAATTGCTTTTCCAACTACATATCTGTATGAAGCCAGATTCTTTTTCATATACTTCCACCAAAACAACATATAACAGATTAAATTCAGAAGCGTAGATAAAAATCTAGCTCTTTTCTTTTAAGCTATACATTAGAAACTTGCACAAATATAAAACAATGACCCTTTTCATATTTGTTTCCATTTTGGAGAATAAACTTATTTTTCATAACATTATCTGTGTTTACATGTAATTACCCTATTTTTACATGAATTGATATGTATTTTTAACTTTCTCATTTTAATTTCTAATATGGTAAATATTGTGATAGGTATGCCCATATAAACAAATGCCGTTTGGGGTTCTCAATTTTTAAGAGTGTAAAGGGATTCTGAGACCAAAAAGTTTGAGAACCACTGTGCTAGACCATAAGTATGGTTGAGTTCTGTGAGCTCACAATATAAGACAGATGGAGATGCATTTGGGAGGATTTAGAGTAGGATCTTTTGACTGCCCTTACTGGGAAAAAATCAGGAGGTAGAAGAAACCATGTGAGCTAACATAACCAAATCTGTTTCTTATTCCAGCACGGCTCCTTGATGGTAGTGATCTTGGCTAAGTTACTTAACCTCCCTAAGCCTGATTTTTTTGTAAAATGGGAAATACCCAAATTGCTGGAGTTGTTATATGAACTAATTAGACCTTATGTATATTAGACCTGGCACATATTAGGAATGTTAATTTCCTTTCTCTGTTCCTTTTCCTTTTTAAAGCATATTAATGGTTTTGGAATATTCCTGGTAGTATGGGATTGTATCCCTGGTATGCTGGTGTAATGTGGCCCATGGTAATACAACAATAAAGTATCAACCTTTATTGCATTGTTGTACAATATACCTTTTATAGAGCTACTTTTAATTGTACTAAACATAAACCATGAGGCAGTGACAGTCTTAATTTCACAGAATGAGCTAATCTAAATTATTCCAAATAATGAAAGCTTCCTTTTTGTCTATATGTGTAGTCACTATAGCAAGGTCAGAACAGCATTTGTTCCCACGGAAACTGATTCAAAGTAGCAAAGGTGCTATAAAATTCAAATAATGCTGGGATCTTAATGACGTTCAGGAGATGACACTTTTGAATGCTTTTCAGAAATATACCTTTGAGTACAGACAAGACTGTCTAGACACCTGAGCTTTTCATCACTAAAGTAGTACAAAATGGTTATTTGGTTAATATGTGCTATACTGTAAAACTATTGGATAACTTAATTTGTCTCCTTCTTTTAAGAGCTTAATTGACTAGAAGAACTCTAGAGAATGTGTATATATTTAGCCTGTTGTTACTTAACTCTTCCCAGAAAGATAGCTATCTATAGGTAGATGAGATTGTGTGTGTGTGCACACACACACACACACACACACACACTTTTTTAATTTGGAAATTTTTATTTAATTTTTCAGTAGCCTTTTTAGCCACTATTATTTGTGTCTAAAGTGATCCTTCTGTAGTTACTGTGAAATTTCTAACTGTTAATGATAAGTTTTATTGTAGCTTGTAAACACATCTGTTTTTTTGCTGCATGGGGTTCTGTTTTAGTGAATTTTTGTATATAAAGTGTATTATATGCATTCTTTGTTTCAGGCACTTTTCCAAATGCTGACCCTACATCTGTCCCTCATGGAGCAGTCTACTATCCAGTAATGTCAGATCCCTATGGGCAGCCACCTTTGCCAAGTTTTGATTCCTGTATTCCTGTGGTGCCAGATTATCCCTGTGTTGCCCCCTGGCATCCAGTTGGTGCAGCATATGGTGGTTCTTCTCAGATTCATGGTGTTACAAATCCTGGGCCAATTGGCTTTATTGCTTCGCCTTCCTCAGCTTCTCATTATGTACCTCAGAATATGTAAGATTCAACAGTATAAAGTATTCTTCACTGCCATTTTCTTGCTGTTTTGGTTTTTAAAAAGTATTTTATGTTAGTGTTTAAGTGACTTAGGTGGTTAGAGTGATTATATTGTATCTGTCTTTAAGATTATTTTACCTTTTGATTTAAAATAATGCTTTAAAATAAATAAATATTTTGGGTTGTGAATACGGAAATTGAGATGGATGTACACCTAGCTACCTGTTGAGCATAGTTCATTGTACTCAGCTGTTTTTCTGTCAGCCAACTTGTCAACTTTGTATTAGCTGGTGGTACCAATTGATAAAAGGAATAAATCATACAAACTGTTTCCTTGGTTTAGAAATCACACATTAAACCATGCAGAATTGGAATAACTTCTACTTTTTTCTAGAATATAAAACCTAAGCTCCTTTGCTTCTGGATAATTCATTTAGTACTAAATGAGAGGGTTCTTCAAGTTTCTTAAGAATTGTTTGAACTGAGTTGTGTTCTGTGATATTAATCAGTTTTGAAAGCACATGGTGCTCTGCTTTAGATTTATCACATATGCTGTTGTTTAATATTGGATCTATGTGTTTTACTGCACAGTACTGAGTTGGTGTCTTTTGCACAATTAGCGGTAAATAAAAACTAGCATTTAAAATTGCCAAAATGAGTGAAATTTTCTTCTTTTTTGCTTTTTCGTGGCAGCAAAGAGTACTAGACTTTCGATTGTTTCAACATGTTTTTCTCTGGCATTTTGGTTGCAAAAGAATAGGAATTTATAGCATGAACCGGTAGGGAGTAGTTGCAGGCCAACTTGAAATGTTACTTAACCTCAAATCATTGCAATGTATACTACCATATCTAGTTATTTTCTCCTGAGAATGATCCTTCTGGTTGTATCTCTGTTTATTTTTTAATCTGTACCCTCTTATAGAATTTTAATCTAGACATAATTTTTTTTTTCAGAATCTGTACTAGACCTGTTTTATTTTATTTATTTTTAATTTAAAGATGGGTACAATTCAGGGTTAGGTATACAAATGGTCATTGTACAGGTAAAGTTTGGGCCTCACTTTGGTCTCCACATCACCTGGTTTGAGAGTAGGTACCCTTATTGATGAAGTGTGCCCCCCGCTCCTTCCCTTCGCAGTTTCCCACTACTGCCAGTCCCTTTCTTACAGTATTATGATAATTGTTCAGAGTCCGCTTATGAGTGAGAACATGATACTCAGTTCTTTGTTTCTGTGATAGATCACTGAGTATTACGGACTCGAAATCCATCCAAGTTTCTGTGAAGTTCATAATTTTGTCCTTCTTTATGGCTGCATAATATTGCATTATGTATATGTATCACATTTTTAAAAATCTAGTCCACTTTTGATGGGCAGCACCATTGGTTCCGTGTTTTTGCTATTGTGAATAATGCAATAAACATGGGAGTACATGTATCTTTTTCATAGAGTATTTGAGTTCCTCCGGGTATAGTCCCAGAAGGGAGATTGTTTGGTTGTATGGAAGGTTAATTTTTAGATCTTTTAGGAATTGCCACATGGTTTTCCACAGAGATTGTACTGGTTTACACTCCCATCAACAGTGTAGAAGTGTTCCCTTTTCCCCACATCCTTCCTAGCATCTGCAGTTTTTTGAGTTATTGATGATGGCCATCCTGACTAGAGTTAGGTGGTATCTCAATGTGGTTTTAATTTGCATTTATTTGATGATTAGAGAGGCTGAGCATTTTTTCATGTATTTGTTGGCTGCTTATATGTCTTCTTTTGAGAAGTGTCTATTCATATCTTTTGTCCACTTTTTCTTATTATCCTCTACTTCCACCATTATCGTAGGGGCCAAAGGGAAAACTTTGCCTTCACCTTCTCTGAAGGTTCACTGAAAAATCAACTAACAAAAGGCAGATTAGTAAGAGAAAAGGTATACAAATTTTATTAATGTGTACACAGGAGTCATCAGAATGAAGATCCAAAGATACAGGAGAAATTGCTCATTTTTATGCTTACTTTCAACAAAGTATGGACAGCTGTGTAGAAATGTGATTGGACAAAAGGTTATGATCTAATGCTATTAGACTGAGTGGGGAAGGAAACTCAGCAAGGCCCATCTGTCTAGATTCTTCTTGCCTCTGAGCTTGCGTTTCTTCCCTCTTGGTGTGGGGCGGTATCCTCTCTGGAATGGGGGTCTTATGACACACAGTCAAACAAGATAGGTCAGATAATTTCTTTTTTGTTGTTGTTTTGAGTTGGAATCTCACTCCATCACCCAGACTGGAGTGCAGTGGCATGCTCCCAGCCACCGCAGCTTCGACCTGCTGGGCTCCGGCGATCCTTCCACCTCAGCCTTCCAAGTAGCCAGAACTACAGGCATGCGCTACCATGCCCTGCTAATTTTTTATTTATTGTAGAGACAAGGTCTCGCCAAGTTGCCCGGGTGGGTCTCAAACCCACTGGCTCAAGTAATCCACTTGCCTCGGCATCCCAAACCAATGGGATTATAGGCTGAGCCACCAAGTCCGGCCCAGATAATTTCTTAATGGCCAGTTTTTACACAGAAAGAGGGAAAATAGGCTGATTTTTTAAAGTTTAATGACTGGCTTTGAGGGAAAGAGGTTCTGGTTTCTGTGACCCTTGGGGAAGAGGGAGTCTGGTTTCTGTGGCTAGCTTCAGGGGAGAATTGGGACTGAGAGATGGGAGGGCAGCAGAAGATTGGAGACAAACTTTTGCATCTGAGGCTGCTTCAGCCTCAGCCTTCATTTGCTGGTAGTATTGCTTCCTGAATCCAACATCATCATACCTTGCTATTTTTGTTTTTGAACTCACCTTACCCACCTTGTATTTCTCAAGGCCCCAGGCTTGTCTCTGACTTTCTGTGAGACATATTTCATCAGCCCTGTTTGCCTTCTACCTTTCATTTACCTGCAGACTGCTATCTTCTATACTGATCAGTTCTCTGAGGAGTAATTCATTTAGAATATTTTGCTCTGTCTCACCCAACAAAGAGCTGTTAAAAGTGTTCTTTGGTTACCACAAAACCTATTTATATCACCTTCCTTAAAGGTTATTTATGTTTGTGAATCAGTTTATTTTCACCCCTGTGGCTACACCTCAGGCAAAAAGAGCCATTTGAGACATCAAGTCTTGGGTTGCTTAAACAGATTAAAGTACTGGAGTAGAATCCATTGCAAAGACAGTATCGAATTTTCAATGTACTGTTTTCAAGATGATTGATCTTAATGAATCCTAAATAAGCTAGTGCATTACTTAAAGTGTTCTTCTTTATAGACACTACTGACTGGGTTTTTGTATACTTGATTCTAAGAAGGCCCTGTACTACAACTTGGCATCTGGCAACTTAAGATAATGACAGTGCACTGATATTTCACAACAACCTAACTCTGTATTAATATTTGAGCTGCTTCTCTCCTAACCTCTTGTGTTCTCAATTTGTGCAACCCACAAATTTATGTTTTGCATAAAGGATTATTTTAGTCAAGCTTATAACATGGAGCAACTGCTCTTCAACATTTTTTGAATATGCTAACATTTCTGAAGTATACATAACTCACAGCAAATGATTGTCCAGTGTCTTCAACTGTCAGTGGCTTGGCTCACCAAGTGGCTTCCAAGGGTTGTTTCCGAAAGTTGTAGTCTCTTGAGAATGTGATTTTGGAATTTGTCTGGTTTTGAGACAAGCACATTTGCCTTAGCTTTCCAGTTGACTTGCTTCTATTTCAAGCCTGTAGATTGCTCCCTTGCCTTGTATTCCATTACCAGTTAATGCAATTTAATCATATGACTTTTATTAACCGAAAATCAATGTGTATACTAAATTGACCCAATTATTGTCAATTGAAATCAACAGTATTTATGGTCTGCTTAAATCATACAATTCTCTTTGTTTATGCATTACAATCTACTCTAAGAAATAATCAAGAGTTAGCCCTAGCCCTCCTGTTGCTGGTGGGTGGGAAGTGTGAGGGTAACTTGTACTGTTGCAGAAGCCTGCAGTGATATTTGGAGGCGGCTGGCAAATAAAAGGAAGTTGTTTTTTTTTCTGGTAATGGAAAACAACCAAAAAAAAAAAAAATCCTTAGACTTAGACTTAACATGTTTAATTTTCCTATAGGATAAACATTATGGTAGACTTCTCCTTTTTATATATTACCTCTTTAGTTGCCTTGTTACAGAAAGATATCCTGTTGTTCCTTGTTGGGAGCCAGCTGTGGAGGCCTGCCTGAGCGTTAGGGATCCAGGCAGGCTGGTTCAGGAGCTGAAGGCCCATTCCCGCCTCCTTTCCTTGTTGTTTAGCATTACCCACTCTCCTCCTTTCCTTGTTGTTTAGCATTACCCACTGGTAGGGATTTTAACGATCTAAGCATGAAGTTCTGAGAATATGACAGGCATGGCTGACTCTAGGGATCCATTGTTCCCGCTTCTCACAGACTGCGGTTTCGGCTTTAAACTTAACACAGTTCAAACTCAGATCACATTTGGGAGCCTTATATGTGATACAAGCTTCTTTATAAGATTTAAAAATATATTTGTAGAATTAGTATATACATTTAGAGAGCTGTTTCCAGCATGAGATGGTTATCTAGGGTTACCAGAAATGGCCCAGCATGAACTTTGGGCTGGGCCACATCCCTAAGGGCCCAGCCTCCATTTGGGACTGGGCTGCATTCTTTTAATACGGTTCTTTAGTTACAATTAGTGTAAGTTTTTTCTACTTATAATAGAAACTGAATTCATAGAAAGTATTTTAGAATAGGTCATGCTACGTCAGGGAATTATGTTAGTCCAAGCATGATCAAACATGATACTATAAGGTTTTATAAGAATCCAGCTAACTTTTGAAATTTCATTGTTCCCACCTTCTACTAATTGTGATTTTGGCTTTAGTACAATTACAGTTTGTGTCTGGGTTTTATTTTAGAAGTTTTATTGCTGATAATCAGCTTTATATATCGGATTAGGAATTAGAAACTTTTTATAGAAATTAAGATAGATACATAGGATTTTAGAATAGCC